TTTGAACCAGAGTAGAAGCTGTGTCCACAGCTGTCACATAAAGCAGTTTGCCCGCACCTTCCCCAGTCTTCCGTGGTTTTACCTTTGTTGACATGTAAGTATTTGAACCACTTAAATGAATAGGCTGTGAAATATAGGTCCAGCTCTGCCTCTGAGATCCATTTAGTTTTGCTTCCATTTGCAACTTGTTGTCCAGTTGTCCCAACGTGATTTACTGAAAAGCGTCTTCTTCCCCAGGGCCCTGAGATGCCTCCGTCATCACACTAACTGTCCACTTGCTCAGTCCCTGTCTGCCCAGCGGTGTGTAGGGCTGCACTGTGTAATCACCGAAGGTTAACAGGAGGGTATAAGAGTTGGCATTTGTTCTTACAAATTCAAGAGAATGTTGAATATTTACTTTTTTCTACATGAACCTAAATATCGATTTGCTTCATACCAAGAGGGATAAAACATGTTTGTGTTTTTATTGTGATTGCATACAGTGGATTTAACTTAGGATTATTAACATTTTTATGACTTCCTATCTGAGAAAAAGTCATCTTCACCATTGTTGGTGATAATAAAGTCTATTTCTTTGGATATGCTAATTTTATATTTTGCCAACTTCCTAAATTATTTTTGAGCTTATTTTCATTGACTTTGCATATATACAGTTGTATCATCTGAAAATTGAAGTTTTTTCTATTTTCTTCCATCTCTTATGCCTTCAGTTATTTTTTTGGATATTTTTTTAATATTTTAGTACATACAATTAAAATTACTATAGAAAACATAACTAAAGGCATAGGATCTGGAAGTGAAAATGAAGAAATATTAAAAACTAAAGTTGATCAACAAATGTCTCTCTCCCTGACCTCAGCCAGCAAGTAAGGTTCTTAGGGCTGGACATAGATGCCTGCTGTATGAAAATGTGTCTTGTCAACTTCAGTATCCTAATGTCTTTATGAGGAGTAAATTTGTGTATTTCAGACGTGGTTTCAGCACCTTAAAAATAATCATATTTGTTTCAAATAATTAAAGTTTTCTCCAGGTTCAGTAGAGACATGCACTGAGGATCTCACACGAAATACAGTTTAATAGTGGACACTGGCACTGCGGGAAACTGGCGTTGGAGATCCCACAACCCAAGGACGCAAGGGGCTTTCTTACACTGGGATGCTGTCTGGCTGAGTAAGACAGGGTGTCCTGTGTCTCGGGTTAGTGAGTGTCTGAAGTAGGAAAGGACCGTAACTGAGGAAGCAAATCCGCGGACTCACAGCGTGAGGGAAGGCACTGGGGGACACAGCGTGTGTGCGCCAGCAGCGGCGGCTCTGCACTCTCCGTGTGCTCTTGCTCTTTGGAACGGGAGTGCGGTCAGTTTCATAAAACTGGAACTTGCTCCTGGAATAAGTGAACTAAGTGATGCCAGGAAGTAAAAATAGAAACACCTTTCCACTCGTGGCAATAAGCAAGCCATCGACTCTTAGCGCCTCTTTCAACTCTGGAGTCAGTCTGTCCAGCTGTGAGGCCCAGAACTGTGGAGAGTGTCCCACACAGGGTGGAGGAGGGTACCGTCACATGCTGGGGGACTGTGGCCTTTGTTTCATCTTCTCTGCTCCTTTGTCATCTTCCTGATTGCCACTCAACTTCCTGCCGAGGCAGGCCTACCGGCTGAGCGTATGTGTTTGTATGTGATACTACACATGCAGCTTTTTATTCCATCCTCAGTGTGTTGTACTGAAGTCTAGTTGTAGTTAGCAAAATCCCCCTTTTCGTTACATGTGTCTGTGAGTAGGAAATCAGCCATGTCACTAGCGCAAAACTCAAGATACAGAATCCTTGTTTGATCAGCCTCAGATGTTCTCTTTTGCTCCTTTATGGTTAGTGCCTGCTTCCACCACTGGCCCTTTTTCTGTTTTCTAATACAGTATGTAAACAGGATGATAATGCCATGTAGCCTCTAGGGTCTGCTTTTTAAAGTTAAGCATGCTGCATTTGAAATTTCTTCATAATGTTGCATATGTGAGAGACGATAGCAGAACATTTTATAAAAACAATGAAATACTTCTAAACGTAATACAAAGAGCTCAGACAGCACCAAGGAGCATCGTAAGAAGTCCAACTTCTATACATATATTTTAATCTCTGGAAAACAGACATAAAGAGAAAATGATGCAGGAAAAAGAGACAAAAAGACACAATGGCTAAAAGAAGAAAGAATGAGACCTCTTATCCAAAATGATGTAACCAGAAACAAGCAATGACATCTCACACTGAAGGGGAGAGCTACTGAATTGATACAGTGTCAGACTAAATGAGTTCACCCAATCCTTGCCAGTACAAATCACACTGAAAAAGAAGGCTGCGGTAAAGTTTCCAAGAGGAAGGGAGGGATTTCAAATGGAAGGTGGAGTTAGTCCAGAAACAACTGGGCTTAGGTAAGTATAAAAGCCTGTTGTGATTGTGGGTCACTTATAAAAGAAATAGCAAAGAAAAATATTAGCACTATATTTTAGATTCATAATATATGGGAACTGTGTGACGATGATATAAAATACAAATATTGGAAGGAAAGCTTGAGAATACATTGCTGTGACATTGTTCCCGTAAGAGCAGCGGTGTTGTATCGCTTCCCCCGGGACGCAGGTCTTAGAAAGTCGAGCCTAAGCTGTGTACACATTTTCAAATGGTATAATTTTAAAAAGTGGGTAGAGGAGATAATAACCCCATGATAGGCTGAAAGGAATGGAGACCCTATAAGATAAACAGAAAACAACTAGAAAAAAAAAAACTGTATTCTGATTTCCACCATCTAAGGAACTACACACCAGCCAAAAAATAAGAGATTTTCATATTAAAGAGTAATACAGCGGTTTATTATGGTTCCTACCAACACCCCCATCGCCCCAAACCTTTAAGTGTGAAGATGAGTTAAAAATAAAAGGAAGGAGTGACCCATGCTGCACCAGGACACTAGAATTCCACTTCTCTTCTCCCCTTCCTCCCCACCTCTTTTTCTTCCCCTCCCCTCTTCCTCCCTTCTCTTCTTTCCCTTCTGTGTTGAGCTGGCATCACTGTGTAGCCGGGCTAGCATGGCACTCTTGAGAGCTCCACCTGTCCCTGCCTCCCAAGGGTCATGGCCTTTAGCCTCCCTCCTGCCTGTCCCTTGTGTTTTCCCTGCTGTGTCCCTAGTCACTGATGCAGGTGACACTATTTTGTATCTATTTTTTTAATTCAGTTTACATCCTGGTTGTGGCCTTTTCCCTGCTTCCCTCTCAGTCCCACTCCCCCTTCTTCCCTATCCCTCTTTCTCCCCCGCCCCCTTCCCCCTTTCCTCAGCAAAGGGGAGCTCCTTTCCCATCCACCCCAGCCCATCAGTGCATCAGGTCTGAGCATGTCCTCTGCCCCTGTGGCCTGGCAAGGCAGTCCTGGCAGGGGAAAGTGATCACAAAGTTTGGAAGTGAGTCCGTGTTTGATGCAGTCCCACTTCCCTTACCAGAGGACCCATATGAGGCCTGAGCTGCCCATCTGCTACATCTTAGTAGGGGGCCTGGGTCCAGTTCATGCATGGTCCCTGTCTGATGCTTCAGTCTCAGCAAAACCCTCTGGGCCCTGGTTAGTTGGCTCTGTTGGTCTTCTTGTGGAGCTCCTGTCACCTCCAGGTCCTTTTCTCTTCCCTCCCACTTTTCCACAAGACTCCCTGTGCATCTCCCAGTGTTTGACTGTGTGTCTTGGCATCTGTTTTGAGGCGCTTCTGAGTAGAGCTTCTCAGAGGAGCACTGTGTGCCTTTCCAGAGGTCCTGAGTTCAGTTCCCAGCAACCACATGGTGGCTCACAACCATCTATACTGGGATCTGATGCCCTCTTCTGGCCTGCAGGTGTACATGCAGATAGAGCACTCATAATAATAAAAATAATAAAAAATATTTCATATCTTTATTAGACACTGGACAGTTTTTATAAATCTATGAAGAGTTTGAAGTTTCGTTATGCTTGTTTTGTACTCGTTTTTCATGTTTTTCTTTAGATTTGTACTTCTGTGAGATGTAGCTATCATGTGATTCTTACTCTGCTGACTTGTACTGGGTTTTCTTGCTGGTGTGTTTGGTGGTGTTTATTGCTAGCTTGTTATTTTCTCTCCATCTGTGGAAGGCCTGTTCGTCTGACAATGGAGATGCTGCCTTCAAAGAGGACTTTCTGTGGCTGTTGTTGGCCTGCAGAGAATAGAGCTGATTTAAGCCCTTTCCCCTTTGGGGCTTAGCCCGGGGTAAGGTGACCATGTCTGTCATCTTGCTGCTGCTGTGCTGCTTAGTTCGTGAGATGACCCTTGCTTGTCCTCAGCTTGTCCTCATCCTTGCTGCTGCCCTCAGCGTCACACAAGCCTGGCTGGGCAGGCCCGTATGTCCTACCTCTTGCCACAACACAGGGCATATACCATTAGTCATCATTCTTAAGATGGAAGAGAGCTTCATCCCTATTCTCCAAACTGAGTTCAGGAAAAAAAAAATAATCTTTTTAAATAAATTATTCAAAAATTTAAGGGCACAGTTGGTAAAAATAAATAGTCTCATATTTTCATCATGTATATGTTATGTTATCCTTAATTTGAGAGCAAAAACATGTGTCACAAGTAATTTTTTAACTTAAATTTTGGGTTAGGATCAGTGTTGCCAAATGGCTTGCCCGTGAGGTCAGCGTCTCGGGGGAGAAATGAGCAGAAGTCCCTAGGCAGAGTCCTGCACTCGGCATGTTGACCCACCAGGACTTTTAAATCACTGTGATTTATTTATGTGACTTTTAAGTTTACCTGTAATTTATTTTCTACTTTACTTTTTCTATGGAAGTTTTTCTCTCAATTTTCATGTACTTCATAAAGAGTCACAGAGTTAAATTTTCTAAGTACTTTCTGTTTTTAACTTGAAATTCTGATATTTTCTAGGCTACATACCTGCCATTCTGTATGTAATAAAATTATTGCAAAAGCTTAATATCAAACTAATGGAGTGATTTTTTCTTTACAGACTTAAAAAGGAACTAGACCTTTATAAAGAAGAGGATATGGAAAGCATCTGCAAAGCACTCCAAACGGAAATAGAACTTCTGGAGACGGTAAGCCCAGGCTGCTCATTTCGCTTCTGTCCAGCACTCTCTTACGTGTTGTGAAGCCGAGCTCTGCTGACTTGCATAGCCAGGAACTAGGGCTTTGCAGCTCTGCAAAACCCCATAAGCAAATGAGTGAAGGAAATGTCAGGATATAAGCCACGAGGTGTTTTAAGCCTATAGGGCTGGCTCCATCAGGCTTGTCACCAACGGGAGCAGGACAGCTGCACGCTGAGTTCCAGCGCACTGCAGTCTTCCATCCTTCACTGAAGCAGTTCTGCTGGTGCAGGGTGGCAGCTGTCCTGGAGTCTGTCTAATGTGTGGCCACCTAGGCTACTATCAGGCATGAGCCGCACCGACGCCCTGTAATCCTGTGCTCGATACTGCAGACCCTCCATTTCAGGCTGTGTGAGAGCACTGCCTCAGCTAACTTAGACCTGAGCACAGTATTTGCTACAATGAACCTTTTTAAACCAATTAATGTTTTTATTAATTAAAGTTTATTTACTTTGTATTCCAGCTGTAGCCCCCTCCCTCAGCTGTACCCTCCCTCCGTCTTCTCCTCCCTTGCCCCTCACTCAGCCCACTGATAGGGGAAGTCCTCCTCCTCTTCCTTCTGACCCTAGCCTATCTGGTCTCATCAGGATTGGATGCATCATCTTCCTCTGTGGCCTGGCAAGGCTGCTCCCTCTTCAGGGGGACATGACCAAAGAGCCAGCCACTGAGTTCATGTTAGAGACAGCCCCTGTTCCCATTACTAGGGAACCCACTTGGATACTGAGCTGCCATGGGCTACATCTATGCAGGGGTTCTAGGTTATCTTCATACATGGTCCTTGGTTGGAGTATCAGTCTCAGAAAAGACCTCTGTGCCCAGATTTTTTGGTTCTGTTGCTCTGCTTGGGGAGCTCCTGTCCCCTCCAGGTCTTTCTATCCCCCCTTCTTTCCTAAGATTCCCTGAACTCTGCCCAAAGTTTTGATGCCCTGTTGCATAGAGTCTTTCAGAGGCCCTCTGTGCACTGCCTTGTGCATCATATTTTTTTTCCTGAATGGGGTTGCTTGCTCAAACTGTTAAAATTATGTTTTGATTCATATTTTTTACAAGGACTTTGGAAAACCTGGGTCAGATATCCCCAGAATTATTGGTGTGCTAAATGTCGGTAGGCTTCGTGAGACGCCTTTAAACAGTGCTGTTGGGCTGCATGTGGAGCTGGTGGTTTGTATGCTCATGTAGCATGTGCAAGGGCAGGGCTTGATAACCAACACGTCAGAGTTCACTCTCCCTTAGGAAAACGTACCGCATGCTTTCTTTTCAGACATTGGCACAGAAGGATCTGCAGGACAAGTAACTCCTCAAGGGCTGAGCTGCCCCACGCTGGGCCATGGCACCCTAGAGTCACACACGAGTGTCACCTGAGGCACCAGGTTCAGAGCAGTGTGCTGACGTCCAGCTGGCCTCCTGTGTCTCCGCATCATACGTTTTATCCTGTTATGTAAGAAGTGCTTATGCAGTTTCTCAAGGAAGAGAAAGGAGACGATGCCACAGCCAGGCTTCTTAAGCTGGTATCCCCTGTCATTCCTTAGTGTAGCTTACCTCAGGTCAAACACACAGGAAGAAATGTGCAGGTTATTGACTCAGTTTTGTTGGTGCCAATTGTGCCAGGAAGAGGTGCTTGCTTTCATTTTAATCTTTTCTAATCATAAAGTGTCTGTTGACAGCAGTCATCCGGGGCCTTTCCTTGCTCCATGCGTCTACAGAGTGTTAAAGTCTGGGGCTTCTGCAGACATTGGCTTTCTTCTCTGTTTATGTAGTTGTAAGTCAGAAAACTCTTGGAAGGAAAATAAGTATGTCTCAGACTGAATAATTCCTCTAGAAGTAAGACAGTGGTGATAGAGAAAGGTAGCTTGTGAGTGTGTATTCATTAAGCAGATTCATTAATTGTTTGTGCATTTAGTCATGAGCAAAGGGCTGCTACCCATGTAATCCCAGCAATGAACTTGCCCAGCCTGGATGACATCATACATCTTTAATGACATCCTGCGTCTTTCAAAACCTATTTCTAATTTCCGCCTCTCTACTGGGGAGTATATTAGACTGTAGAGTTTGCTGCCTGTTCTCCCGTTGGTAGAAGGAACCACTGGCTAGAGGACAGAGAGTGCGGAACAACCCCAGTGGCTGGAGCATGGCCCTGGTGGGGTTTCCTTTCTTTCTTCTTGTACCTTATTGCTGAAAGGGATGGAGATGAAGAGAGAGCTGTAGGGCTGTGCAGCCCAACATGGTTGCTTTGTCATTGTTTTGTTTGTAAAAGGAAAAGATTAAAGAACACTTGCCTGCCTGCCTACGTGTATTTTATTGGAACTTGTAAAACCAGGATTTGAGTTTAAAAGCCTAAAAAAAGGTTGAGGTCATTTGTAATGAATTAGAATGTAGGAGACAGTAAACTAGGGCTGGGCCCTCCCTGTGGAGTAGACATGCTGCTGTGAGTACCGCTGAGTCTCAGACCAGATGGGCACATTGGAGGCCTGCGGTTGACAGACAGCACACACTGGACAAGCCCTGTTCCCAGCTTTGGCTGAGGACAAAGTCCCTTTCTATTTTGCACCAATCAATCATAAATAACTATGTCATACTGTGATGAATAAATCGTTTATTTGCAGTCCAGAAACCAGTGGCAGTTCAGTGACATGATGAGAAATGAAGAAGACAATTTGAGTCATGGGAACACTAGGCCAAGGTGCTCTGTTCTAAACTGTCTGTTACAGGGTAGCAGCTGAAATGTGCAGTTGCTCAGCATACTGAGAGCCTTTCAGCGTTTGGAGTGGAGATGTTTAGATGGACTTCGATGCTTGTTTGCTTGTTTGTTTTACCTCTTTACTCCTCTGTCACTGGAAAAACATAGGTTTGCCCCTCAAAAGAGACTGCAGAACATTTTCTGTCAAGGGGATTTTTTTTTTTCGGAATGTGAACTAAAAATGAAAAAAATATTTATGTCATTAGCCTGCAGTAGGGATTAAGTCTTGGGGGTTTGTGGCCTTTAATCTTAAGACAACAGATTTTTTTCTTTTTTTAATGTAAGAATGGAGCCCAGCTGTGTTTGAGAAAGCTTGAGGTAGGAATACATAGTTAGCTGAACGTTGTGGTTGTAATACTGTAACGTTAAGTGCTTTGCTTTGATTTGGATTCATCTCAGGATCAGCTTTAATACTGGGCATTAAAGCTTCTTTTTAATTCACTACGGATGTGAAACAAATGATGCTTATACAATACTAGTAATCCATGAAGGAAATTGTGCAGGACCACACCCAGCCCCTCCACACACCTTCTACAATACAGAACAATCTTCCTGTTGTTCATTGGTGGAGGCTCATGTTTATTAGACATGAGGAAGAATTGTGCAAGAAAACACGTGTTATAAGAGCACACTTACTTTGATTGGAGGAAGAAAGAAAACACCGCAGAGAAAGATGTGCCTGGTGGATAGCTTCCCAGCTGCCACTGTGGCTGTGGAAAGTCCTGAGAGCAAGGCTGTCGGAGCCGAATGCTTATTTAAACAACTGCTTCTGATACATAGCAAATTTATCTTTAAAAAGCCTTTGTAAAACCAACAGCAGCAGAATTCAGATGTCTGGGAAAATAAGGAGTGAGTGAAATGTGAAATTAATAACAATGACTGACACAGGCCGGTGGAGCAAGAAGAAATGCTGTTATTTTTCTCTTTACGGCCAGAGAACTCCATGCCTCTCATAACGCTAAGTTCATTATTTTCATACTTGTAATAAATTGCCATCCTAATTAGTTGGTAAATAAAATCTTGTTAAAACCCTCTTAATCTCCATCTAATGGACACGAATACGATGCTAATGAACATTCTGGGTCCGGCTCTGTGGTTGCTGAAGCTGCCGTTGCACTGTCATTTGGAACAGTTTTTGTGAGTGTCAGGTAAAAAGCACCTGTAGCGCAAGTGACGTGGGGGTCGAAAAGGGCCAGTGCTGGAGACTCTAGATCCGGGGCTGGGCGCACCTCGAGAGCACCCAGGCTGTGCTCGCGTCATCAGGGCTCGCTGCTGAGCGCCTGGGGTGCCAAGGTGGGTGGCATGCTTGCAGACGTGCTGGTCTGCTTGGTGAGAGGTGACCAAGAGCCCAGAGAGACTCTGTATTTACACTTTAATTGCTCAGACTCTAGTGATAACATACCCTCAAGAATATTGGTTTTAAGTTTTTGCTTGGAATTAAAAATCTACACAACAGCTATTATCAGAGAAATTTGAAAATTGTTTAAATCAGCCTCTGATTTCAGAAACCATGGAATTGGTCACAGTCAGCAAATGAGCGTCTCGGTGAGCTGAGAGTGTCTTCCTGCAGTACAGAGCAGGCCTGACTCTCCTCAGACACGCCTTCCGGGACTCTTGAAACAGCGGCTGTCCATCTCTCTGTTAGCTCTTTACATGCGTGTTTCAGCATTATCCCATGGTCGTTGATTAAGGATGGCAGGGTCTAAGGGTGGTCCTCATCGCTCCTTTCTGCCACGGCAGGCAGTGTAGACTAAGAATTTACAGAAGGGTCAGCTGACTGAAGTTCATCATTCTTGCTCTTTTCCAACCCCCGTGAGATGGCCGCTCTAGGCTGTTGTCTTACATTGCTGCCACTAACCTGTGTTTTAGGAGGGCCACTGCCTTGCACAGCACTTTCCCTCAGGATACAGAGCATTGTCTGGCCTGCAGGGAGTATTCAGATAAATGTGTGTGGAAATATTATTTGCATTAGTTTTTATTTCATCCACAAATATTAATAAGTTAAATCCATATGTAGTAATAAGTTAAATAGAAATCATTTATCTAGTTGCACTGAATTCATTCATTGTTGGTTTTCTGGGTTTAATTTCTCTATTTTCTTATTTCTCACTATTTCTGAACCTGTTTACTTCACTGAAAGAGGGGTAGTGATAATCCTTGCCAATTCCAGATCTTGTATGTGTACAACAGTCTATAAAATAAACTAGAAGAAAATAATGATCCACATTCCATCATAGCAAAAGTCTGTAAGGCTCTCAATGGTCACTTAGAGATTTCCATTATCAAGCTGCTGATTGACAGATAATGGTTCTGAATGCTGCTTTCCACCAGCTGCCGGACTAGAAAGTGATCATTGTAAGCTGCTTGCAAGCTATGAATGTGCATTTGAGTCCCTTAAAAGCATTGTTCCTCTGTGGTAATGAGGAAATTTCAAAATGTGTTTGTTTCTGTGGGTTGGTTCAGTCTTTGTGATCTGAAATACAGTTTAAGCACTTCTGTGAAGTTAGCACTGTATTTAGAAAAATATCTGAGCGCCATCTGCTGGAATCATGTGGTACCGCATTAAATACAGTGACCTGACCAGAATCACTGGGGTTGGTTTTGGTGCTCAAGTTTAGGCAAGATAAACCCATGTGAAAGTGGTTCTGGCAGGCATGCTGGTTTTGCCTTTGCTTTCTGGATGTCGATACAGGAGGAGAAGGGTCTCGTGGTTAGCCAGGGCTGCACAGTAAAATACCCTGTCTCAAAAACAAACAGAACCCAGCCTTTTCTTCTGTCTTTCCCTCTGTCAGTTTTTCTCAAATATAAATTTTAGCTCTATATATAACTTACACTTTCTCAGCATTGCACAATTTTCAGTATGTCTGACACTACTTTTAAATTAGTACTACATACTTTTACCACATTTGCCTACTTTAAAAGAGCTTAATAAATAAATTTTCCTTCAACCAACAACATTCTTCTATTGTTATTAGTTTTTACAGATGCATTCACGAATGGCTGACTTATCAAATAAAATCTGCTCAGGGCTGCCATGGGTGTGGGGTGTGCCTGCTGAGGCGTCTGGCCCTGGACCGTGCTCATGGTCACCATCGTCATGCTGGGGAGGGAAGGTCCCCCCATGCTCCCCCAGAGCTCCGCTTCCCAGCGAGTGGGGTGCTTTGGAAGCTGTGGACATGCTCAGGAGGCGGGAGCAGCTGGCAGCTGTCTGTCACCAGAGGCCAGCAGCTGTCTACACTTGTTTTCTACGACTGTAATAAAACCCAGGCCCAGTCCTGCAGGGGAAAGACAGAGTTCATGTCTTAACAGTTTATGTCCCGTCAGAGAGGGATACCAAGCCAAGCGCTGAGGGCAGGAACCCAGGCCAGGATGTCCTGGGAAGCCAGCGTGTTGGTTCAGATGTCGCCTGCTCTTACTTAGGAGACACAGGCAGGTTTTGAACGGTGTCTGTGCCTCTGCCGTGTACATCCCTTGACCGGAGATCCCTCTGGCGACTCACAGTGCATCTGTAATAATCCTCAGTGGACTTTCTCTTAACACAAGTGAATTCAAATAGC